CAAATGGTGACTCTTTTCTCAACTCGTCTTTGGATAACTCCAATTAGAGAAGTGTCCCAATCGTCTGCGCCTTGTGTTACAACATCACCGAATGACTTTGCGCGCATTTATAATATGTTGTCTCCCGATAAAATGTCGGAGACCTTTCGCGCGAATTTATTTTCTATACCGTACTCCTGCACGGAATCCCATACGCCCATCGGGCGTGCGCGCGCGATCGTCGTAAGACTTGTCGACGTTTGCGTTACGATGAAGAGAAATCCCGACGAAGAAAGGTCAGGGGATCGACGAATGCGTCCTTGGGGAAAATAGGAGGCGGAAAAGTGCCGTCTCTGGCAGGGAGGATCGACGATTCTGCCGGTTTGTGTAGCGAGTTGCGCGATTACGGCCAGCGACTTTCGGTTCTGATCGCGCTTGAAAAATATGAAGAAAGCAGTGAGAGAAATATATATCTTTCGCGATATGTCGCGCAATTTCACGTTATGTCTAAAAAATCCGAGGACAATTAAATATGTTATCGCGCTTCCTCTTTAAAAGCAAATTCGACCGGGCTAAAAGAGAAAGAGGAAGAGCAACGGGTTGATCTCCGCGCCAGCCAGGATTTTTTGCGCTCTGCTGAGCCCAAAGTGACATACGGCAGTGTACTATGTCATGCGAGAGAAAGGGATTGCGGGATCAAATGCAATGCAAAATGCGGCGGGTTCTTTTCGGCGCGAGGAGTATCATCGATCGATATCGAGTACTAGCCGCTCGTAGAAAAATGCCCACATACAGAGAAAAAAGTTTGGTTGAAGTAACATGGCAGCAAACCGACCTTTTGGTCCAAGAAAACAGGATTCCTGATTTTTATGAATTTCATTTAATTCTAAGAATTAGAAATTCTGTTTTTTTAACAAAAGGTACTTGATTCGTGTTCTATGCCACATTTATTCCACCAATCTTTTTCCTCCATATGCAGAAAGAAATACTCGGAAATTTATTTATGATATAAAAGTTTATTTCACAGAAATAAACTTTATTTCACAAAAGTAAACTTTATATCTTATAAATAAATTTTCAAATTTTTTTTCTCAGTGTAAGAAACTTTGTTTTCTTCAATCGAAACGCGTTTGGTTTGTTCATCTCGTCATGTCAGTTTCAATTTTTTTTCTCCGTGTGTAGAATTGAATTTGATTCATAACAATTGCAGAAATTTTTGTTTCCTTTAATCAAAAGATGTTTGGTTCTTTCCTTATCAGTTTATTTTATTAAACCTTTCTCCTGCTGTACGACAGATTCGGGATTCGCAACGATCATGGTGGCGCCCAACTTCGGATGCGCCGTTCGGAAGGAGTGAATCGTCGTGTCGCGCGAGCGAGAAACGGAATATTTACAGGTCTGACGGCGTGTGTCGTAATACGTCCGTCAGGAACAACCGCCGATTCCGCAAACAGCGAACACGCTACACGAAAACGCATATGTGTGTGCGTGCGTGCGTGCGTGCGTGCGTGCGTGCGTGCGTGCGTGCGTGCGTGCGTGCGTGCGTGCGTGCGTGCGTGCGTGCGTGCGTGCGTGCGTGCGCGCGCGCGCGCGCGTGTGTGTATATACAAAGTTATGAAAGAGTTGCGGAACTTGTTTCTGCGAAAAATCCGCAGCACATCCCGCGCGACTGCGAAAGATCTCGCGCGAACGTATCGAAATCGGCGGAATACATTACGCGAGTATAACCTTGACTTCAGCTACATTATAAATTATCTAATCTTCAACATGTGGTTTTATTCATCAATCGACTGCTATGCGCCTCCTCCCGCGTAATTTATTACATAAATTACAATTCCGCTCCGTATTAGCATGCATTACGCAATACCGTTTCATCGGGCTCAGCTGCACGAGCGCGCCGATCCGTGCGCTTTCACGGACAATTCGGCTGTTTTATGAGAAGCATCGCGGCGAGCCGAGTTAGTACGCGTCGACGCGGCGATCTTACACTTTCGCCGAATCCTCATGTACCGAGAGCCGGGCAATCGTCCAAAAGTCGCTCGCCCATATTTCGTGGATGTAATCAGTAAGGTTACTTAACGCACCTCCTCTCCCTCTTTTCCGCTCTCTCCCTTCTCCCTCTCTCTTTTTCTCACGCGTCGAAAACGGTACTTAAAGGAGTAACATACTTTTCTCATTCACTCTGGGGTTCCTCCCGCTCTCTTGCCGTGCATATAATTCACATCGATGTTGAAAATTTATTGCAACTTTATGCGCGGTGGAGTTTCTCCCGATAATATATTTATTTATCCTACTTCGATTTTTCTTTCTCTCTCTCTCTCTCTCTCTCTCTCTCTCTCTTCCTTCTTGCTTCACGATGTACCAATTTCCAATTACAGTTGTGGCGTTTTGACGTCGTTTAGTGACCTCATAAATAATCACATATGCAAATCGCACTATGTAAAACAGCGACGATTTGGTTATATCATTCCGCGGTGCCAGAATGGTTCTTTTCTCTGCGGACGGCGTAACGCTATAATATATCCTAGAAATTGGAACAGTTTAGCGTTGTTACATTTCGGAGAGGAGGTGAGGAAGGGAGAGGAAGTGTCTCACGTAGCGTTCTCCTTTATTTTCAAATCAGCGGAGTGACATCGCTTGCGTCACATGCAAAATACCAAACTCTTCATCGCCGGCCGACGAATTTATTGCGACAATTTCCGAAGCCTGCCGCTGGAATGTTCATCTCGCTTTGTTGCACGTAACCGCGGTATATACACACACACACACACACACACACGCGCGCGCGCGCACGCACGCACGCACGGGCGTGCTGCATGCGGCTTTCGCCGTGTTACAATTTGATTTCGTTAATTCGGACAATTCAGAAGAGCATTGGTAGTATCAGGCCGCGACGGAAAACTAAAGTCCAAAATTTAAAATCCGCCAGGTTTACATTTTCTCGTAAATGCACGCGCGACAGATGCGCGTGCCGAAATCGACCGTGCTCTCGTGAAAAAATGCGATCCCGAGAGTGCGTTTGCTCTTTCCCGCTGTTTTCTGTCGTTCTATTGCATTCGCGGCGTAAGATTAGAAGATGCAGCCCGGCGATTCACACGACCGAGAGGATATATCTCGGCAATAATCATGCGTTTGAGACATTAAACGTTTCAACAAAATGCGGATAAAAGGTACACTGTGTGTGTAAAAAGAAATTCTTTTTTCAAAAAAAACTGAAAGTTTGATCCTACTTTCGATCTCAACATTCTGTAAAACACTTGACGCTCTGAAGTCTTCATCAATCTCTTTTGACCTGATAACTTCGTCGAGAGGTCCTTTTTAGAACCTACAAGTAGCATTTTGTGTTTTCTGCCATTTAGAGATGCTAAGGACTGTTTTTTAGAAAACTGCCATTTAGGACTTTTAGTTTCCATCTGTATTAAACATATCCGAATCGAAATTTTGATACTACTTTATATAGACTTTAATATTCCAATTAATGTCTACTTTAATATCCTAAAACTTGTATTACCTTTGATTCTATTTAACCTACTAACTTTGTCGAGAGATCCTCTTTAGAAACTCTAAGTGGCATTTTGTGCGTTTTCTGTCATTTAGAAGCGCACTGAGAAAAAATGTTTGGTATATTATATAGCCATACGAAAAAATAATTACTATAAATTATGGCTAAGAAAACTATTTTTTTTTATTAAATCACACTATATTGTTGGCGATAATAACCTCAAGTGTTACTATTATTACTTTACTTTAAAGAATGAAGTTGAGATAAAAAATAACTACTATAATTTTCGTTAGACCAACCATTTTTTCCTCTCAGCATAGAACTTCAATTTCCATGTGTATTGTACACACGCTGATCCTCCGGAATATATAGATGTTAGGGAAAGGGCAAAGGTCGAAAGTGGGACTAAAATTTCGAGGTCTGGAGGTCGTGTGCAAATGAAACGGTTGGAGACACGAGAGCGCACTGACCGGTCGTTAGCCGACTATCGTTTCGCCTCTCTCTCTCTCTCCCTCTCTCTTACGTTGATCGTGTTGTCATCTCGTTTGTCACGGGCTAACGTGCGCACGTTCAGCTTCCTTCGGCAACTTTGGCCGACACATCGGTCTCGCGGAATTATGTGCCGTACCAATATCGAAGTACGTCACGCCACGTTCGTTGCTGGCGATCACACGTCCACGAGAAAGCGGAGCTCGTCGGGATGCCGAACGGTCTAACCTGCCGGTAACAATGTTGCGCAACGCAAGGACCGACGGCTGCTCGGATCGTCGCGGACATCCTAGAGCCTCTGCCGTCCCGTTCGTGTCACCTGTTCTCGTCGAGACGATGCAGGACGAGCCGAACGAAACGGACGACTGGGGAAGCTCGCTCCGGTCGGTGACGAGTTCCGTCGCGACCGCTTTCATGTCCGAAACGGACGGTTGGTTTCGTGAACTTTAACCCTCGCCTCTAGCAATAATTAAAAATAATAATTAGAAAACACAACATCCCCCGATCTCCTTCCCCAGGCAGAATTTTCTCCTTCGCTGATCTTAAATTCGGAAAAATTTGTTATATTAAATTTAGGTTAATTGCCCCCGTGTTCTTAAAAAGTCGGATCATTGCTGCGCCGAACTTTTTAATTAAAGTTGCCGAGAAAAAGAGGGCCGTCCTTTTTTTGTTGGTTTTATTGTTTCACTGTGCTTTGGTGCAAATATTTCTTCCTCTTGAAAATCTCGCGATTTTATCGATGGAATGTTTCATCTCTCCCAACAGTTAATGGCGGTTAATTGCTTCTTCTTTCTTTCGTGTTGGTTCACTCGTTAACTACACGTTCATTAACGATTCGTCTGGGGTAGTTACACGGAAGAAACAACTCGGTCAGTGTAACTGAATTTCTGTTATCTGGGCATGAAAGACTCGATTGTAGCAACAGAAAAACTCCTGTAGGAGCTTTCTGCTCAGCTAATTCTGCTTAGTTACCTCCATAGAGTTTTAATGTTCAGCTGAATATTCAGATGAATGTTTTCAGTCACAGTAACACAGCATTATTTCTTATCAGTAAGTTTTTCGTCTGGTTTCCATTCAGTTACACGAACTGAAATTTTCTTTCCGAAAATCCCAATTTCTGCAACTTTCCCCGAACCTGGTGAACAAATAATGGTTATTTTTTTCTGACAGTCCATATATTCCTGCACTACTAAGAATTTAGTAAAATTGAAAAGAATTTGTACGAAGAGGAACGTTCTTTCCCTATACGTAGAATCGCATATAGTGTTCGATAATGATTCTCACTCAGGAACTGTATTTCGCGTTTGCAAGCAATGCGATTTAAGCGGACGATTTAACTCAAGCGCAAGTGTGACTGCGTATGTAATCTAAGTTAGTCAGTTGGTAATAAGTTAGTAATCTAAGTTGGGGTATATATTTTACGCCCGAGGCGCGTCGTTCGCAGTAATCCCGTGATCTTCGCCCATTGTCTCCTTTAACGCAGAGGGAGATTACGAGACGTCTAGCGAAGGCCCGATCCTCTCGAAATTGAGCTACAACGAGATCCACGGAGCGTCGAAAGAATCGCTTTGCGGTTACTCCGAGAAGAAAAGCACTTCCTCGAGGAAACTCGCCGCGCTCGATAGCGACGGGTCGCCGATAAAGCGAGAAGTTATCCCCGATTCGTTGCCCGAACTCGTGGAAAACAGATTGACCCGGCGAACCGCGTCTGCACGTAGTCTCGCTCCGGTATCCCAGAGTTTGGCCAAGCCCCTGTCGATCCTCAAACACAGCGAAGCTCCGGGTGACGCCGCCACTATGAAAGCAACGGACGACGCGTTGATATCCGAAGCGTCGATCACGCGCAAAAAGAAATCGTCGATGGTCTCTGTGACAACCGGCTCGACCGTCAACTTTCAAGGCGAACAATACGAAGCGGGAGCACTTGAGAAGCAGATGCCTGTGCTTCGGGTACGTCCGTGGATATTCTTTACTGTCGGATATCCGACTCCTACCCCCCGTGAAATTCGAGCGTGAAAAGGAACAGTCGTGCGAAAATTCGTCGAACCACTTATCGCGATAACGTTCGATTAACTCTCTATGAATCCCATCGTGCCGATTGACAATTTGTTCCTGCATAAAAACATAATTTTTATATTGACAATATATGGAGGAAATTGCTGTTACACCAATAGAATTGATCAGCGGCGATATAAATCTTGACGTAAATTCTTTTCTTGATTTGGCATGGAATAAATCTTCTTGACTCAATAATCACGTAGATTTTTCTAATTATCTTTTGCTTTGATGAGCAATCTCGTCTGTTGCAATTAAATTCACGAGATGCAATTAAATTCTAGATTTTAGTTCCATTGTTTGACGATATTTTCATACGGAGTATAGGTACACGGAAAAAAAACTATCATAGTTGGATCTAGACAAACATGACATGTTTAGTTGAACTGTTGGTTGAATTAAACAGAATTTCTGGTCATTATAATCACATATTCCTGGCATTCAATACTGGTTGAAAATAAATACACCAACTTTTTAAGAAATAATTTTTAGTTAGAAAAAAGTGATAAAATTTTTAATAAGAATTGTGAATATAATTTTGTTTAGTTCCATTAAAGTAACCAAACTGATTACTTTAACCAAACACTTATGATCAAATTTGTCTGGTTATTTCAACTAAAAATTATATATCTTATTTCGTATCATATCAATTCATATCTCATCAAACAGTCCGGTACACTTTGAAATCTGATCAATTCAACTAATTCTCTCTTTTTCGTGTATCATATTAAATCAAAATAGATTAAAGGAGAGAGTAGGAAGCACGCAGGAGCGGAGTTGTAGAAGGATTGGTTCTTTCTCCGATCATGGTGGGCTTTGTTCTCCGTAGGACGCGACGTCTACGGTGATTGATGACGAGAGGTCGAAGGAGCTCGTGGCGCGAGTGACGCTTCGCGGGATGAGAAGCAAGCATCGCGACCGGAATTCCCGTCGGGGCACGAATCCGAAGTGCGTCAACGAGAAGGCCGCTGCCAATTCGACAAACGAGGGCGATCTCGCGAACGATGCCAAGAATCCGTGCTCCCCCGTCAATTCGGTTTACATTCCGCCGAATCCTCCTGCCACACCGGGCGACTCCGTTAGACTCGAAAGAGGTCGGCGACGAGTGTTCAGCGACGTGAGCGCTCTGCTGAAGCTCGATCACGAGGTGGGCCCGTTGCGCTACCAATTGAGCGAGATCGTCGGCAAGGTTCGCGCTTTGGGTCTGAACGGCTCCAACTTCGATCTGTGCCGCCGTTCAGACCAGCGACTCGACCTTTCCGACCGATCCATTCTGTCGTCGAGCGTGTTCGGTGGCTTGTCCGATCTCGCTGGGACGTCGCGACCGGCCACGACAAGCTGCAGCCTCGAGAATCAATTCGGTTTCGTCGGTAAGATGACCTCGCGGTCGTCCACTTTCTCTGTGGTCGATAAGCTCGCTTCGGGAGAACCTCGTATCAGCTGCCTGGACGGCTCGAGTCGCCCAGGCGTCCTCGACGAGCCGCGCGACGGACGCGCTCCCTATGACACTTTCAATCGTAAATCCCTCGCGACGATCGAGCGGGATATGTTCGCGTGGAAGACTTGGTCCGCTCATAACAAGGTCCACATCAGCCGGCCGAGCTTGCTCTGCGAGAGCGAACGGGAATCGCGCATATACCGCGGTATCGGGAATTCGCGGCTGCCCGACAGCCCGAATGGCTGCTCGCCCGAGCTCTGGGGACGGCGGTCTTCGGCGTCCAGTGGTTGTTGCCACGCTCAGCTGCACCGGTGGAACACCTCGCGCACGACTTGTCGCTCAAATTATACGTCCGAGTCCACTGTCGTGCAGGTGATCAACGGCGACTGCGGCAATCTCGGCGGAGAGCCGACGAACAAACGGTCGATCGGACACGTTCCTGTGCACGCACGGAATTCCGTGGCGACTCAGGTGACTATTCGCGGTGCCGGCCACAAGAGCACTCAGACCGAGCGCGTCACCGAAGACGACGGCCGGGTCTCCTCCTCCTCTCGGCCGATCAATTTGTGGTGTATCGATCGCGCCGCAGGCTCCGATCGCCAAATACCGCGCGCGGCCTCCGCTTCCCAGATTCGCGTCGTCAGCGTAAACACGGAATACTGTGCCATCGTCGAGAGGAAGCGTTTCACCAGCAGAGCGGTCAGTCCCATCTCGGGATCGTCGTCGTCGACGAGCGACGTTTTGCTCGCCGCCGTGTCCGGCGTCTTCGTGCAACAAGTGCGGCAGGAAGTGCCAGAGGTCGCGAAGTCTCCCGTTACTGCCGTTGTCGTCGACGAGAAGAACAACGTCACGAGTCGTCCGGGCCGCGACTCTCATCCTCGAAAGTTCGACTCTCAATTGGGCGCGGAGGATCTATCGAAGGAACTTCGCGAAAACAAGGAGGATCGAGTAATTCCGCTGAAATCCACGAGAACGCAGCGTCTTCATCCACCAGCCGCGACGTGGAAAATCACTCCTGCCGTCCTCACCGACGGTTCACCGAAATCGTGGAGAGCTCTGTATCCGAATTTCGCGACCTCAGGGTGTATCGATGACGAGTCGAGGTTGAGATTGAGTCATCAGGTGGTGCGAACGAGATCTGGGAGGGCGCGATCGCCGTCGAAAGGAGCCAACCAGACGTTCTCGAGAGATGTTTTGGAGTCCCGCACGTCCACGTGTTTAACCGAGGAAGAATTATCGAACGAGAAGCGCCAAGAAGCCAGGGAGGTCTCCGATTCTCGCATCAGTCGTAGCGGCGATCTGTGTGCGCAGCGGAAGAATCGCGGTCCTTCGGCGACGAACGCCGTCCTGAGAGTTCCAATACGACCGACTCAAGCGAGAACCTCGCGCCCGACGAGACTCGGCAGAAGAGCACGAGAATATCGCAAACCCACCGGGGCGACAGTTGTCGAGAGAGCGTTACCCGGTATGAGGAGCTCGCCGGAGGACTTCTTTTGTGACACGTGACTCTACGCGGCGCACGAGTGCGCTTAAACGCGCGAAGTCTCCGAGAACGCGACGCTTTGGCGAGGCGATAAGTCGCTCGACCTCCTCGCCGGAATTTCTCCCTGGCCCGTAGCGGGAAGTGAGTTCTCGCGCACCCTGGAGAAACGACGGAAAGTTCAAATTTGACGCGAGCGACAAACTGTAAGAATTCATGCGATCGTCGTACCGAGAGTTTGCGCGAGTTCCTCAATATTGTGAGCATCTAAGGGTTGGTACGTGACGTTCCGCAGGAGGTACATTTATTTCTTCGAATTTACGCCTTTGCCGGGGATAGAATCTGGTCACTTCAAAGATTAGATCGTCTTGCAGCTTTTGTCTCACTCCTACTAGAGTTTCTCTCTTACTCCCATTGATATTATCCCTAAAAATGGCAGGCAGGATATAGACCAATCAGGAATTATCATGTTTTGTCCTAACTTTGACTGCAGGAACTTGAAGTTAACAAGAATTTGTGACAAGAATCTTATTGACTTGAACAGAATGTTGGTAAGTTCAACCGCAATTCTGATTCAACTTGAACGATTGCAAGGTTCTGTTAACGAGAAATCTTGTTTGATTAACTTAGAACTCCTCAAGTCAGAGTTAGGACTGTACTCACCATTTGTAGGGAGGAAGAAGTGAGTGAGTGAATGAGTGAGAGAAGCCACCATTGTAGGGAGGAACTTCGCTTCTGACGTTATCAATCAAGAGTTCCGCGGCGTATACTTAAGAGCCCTATAATTCGAGTTTAAGATTTAGTCTGAAGAAAGTAAACTCGAGTTAAGGTTTAATCAACGTTGATGGAAGTATCAGAGGAATGCCAATAATCGGTGTAATTTATCCTGTATCGAAAAACGTGATACTGCGACACGAGAGACTAGCTAATGAGAAAACGCCACGTGAGCTGTCGAGTAATTTTTCGTACTTTCGGCCTGTACTGAATGCAGAGCACAGATTAAATCTGATTTGCCGGGTGATCGGACAATCCCTCATATCTCAAGAGCGGATGGGAAGTCATCGTGGAGAGAGGATCGAGACAGGATAAGACTAAGTCCACCGGCAGATCTCCCGCTGGATGCCTGCTGCATGCATATTAGGCAGTCCCTTGATCCTTGAAAGCGCGCGTTTTAGTATAATCGCAGCACGTTGTATCCCGCCGTCGCGAATTTCGAGCAGCTAGCGATTAGGAGAGGCCCAAGTGGAACAGAAAATCGCGACGATGTCGAAATGACGAGGAAACGATCGAGTCGTGATTGAGAATGGAGTTTTTTTTTAAGTCATCTTCTCCTCATTTTGACATCATTGTGATGTTATTATGAATTTTTGTTCCACCTAAGAGCACGCGCATTTACATAATTTCGCGTGAGCTGGCGTGAGCGACGACTTCTGATGCGAAGACATTCTTTCGGTGGAGTAGGGAACATCATGTGTAAAAACATAGAAATAGTCGGCTCAAATCGAGATCTCCCTTCGCGGGTATTTCTTGATATTTTAACGCGCGATCTCGCGCATTTACCGGAGCAAATAGAATCTTGAGGAGCAACGCGGACCGTGTAACACATTGTCATCGCACTAATCGCGCAAACACGTCTCAAATACGCGTCTTTCCGCACAGTTTGGCGCTAAAACGCATCTGATTATGACCGCGGTGTCAGTGATGCGCGACTAAGTGTGTGATAAGTGATGACAGAACATCGGGAACGGAATTGCCGCGCCGCGCAATTCGTGACCCTGGAACCGGTTCTTTATACACACGCGTGCGCGCGAGAGAGAAAGGAAGAAACTTTCTTTCTCTCTCCCTCTTTCATTCTCTGAATAAATGTGTATTCTATCAACGGCGAATCGTCGATATCATTACCGTCGTGTAATTTCCAGCGTGCTCCAGCAGTTAGCGGCGCTCGTCGGTAACGCCATTCGTTCACGTTACGGCGGATAAGAGCGATTAACGATCAAGTGGATCAATGAACGATTTTCTCGGCCCCTTTGCCGTTATACACACATACATTATATATTGTGCAACGTACTCTTAGGGAGAATTCATACCTCGGCGGAAAAGCAGAAAGCAGAAAGGGAATTCTGAATACCAATTCAGAATTCGCGCTGGTGGTCGGGGAGTAGCCGACAATTTCCGCTTTTTTCCGCTGGCGCGAGTTTTAATTGGCTTCTGCTTTTCTGTTTCTTACTTTTCCGCCGAGGTGTGGGTTCTCCCTTACGTCTGCCTCGGTTGCCTAATTAATAGAAAGTTGCACTGCTCAGGATCCATCTTACGGATACGTTTAAGAAGCGGCGGGAACACATCTCGCTGTAAAGGGAAGCGGGACGCGAGGTAATTAACGAGAATTCAAACCACAAACTTGCCTTTGCAAATTGGCTCGCAAATTCCGGGACACTTCCTCCCGTTGACCCCCATCTCTCTCCTGCGCACTCTCATTCTCTTGCACATGTTTCTTTTTTCCATTATTTTTTTCTTCTTTTTCTGTACTTCTCGTTCCCGCACTCGCTCCCGCCGACTATTTGTCTCGCTCAGCGTGAAGCTGCGGTGTCGTGTTTCATATTTTCTCTCCCAACATCGTAGAAATTTTTTTAGGTTTTTTTTTTCTCTTTCGTATTATTATCCGCTTATTTCGCCCCGACGAGCGATACACAACGGTTGTTTATCTCGCGTCCCGTTACGATAAAGGCCGTTGCGATAAATCCCGGGAGTCGCAATCAAAAGGTTATCGATAATCATACGTTTCGATAATTTTATTCTCGGCGCGATGTCTCTTTCACGACGTGTGCCATCACGAAAATCTAAATGTCGTTATACCACATTTGCGCAATTTGCTATAGTTACGCAAAAGTAATTCAACTCAAAAATTATGATTTTTAAATATCCTTAGTATTTTCTCCGTGTAGCCGGCGTACTCGTTGCTGCACGCGCGCGTTTTTATACGATAATTTACGACAATAAACGCGCGTTGGCGATTTTCCAGACAATTCTCGTCTTGCCCGCGCACTCGTGCGCGGTTACATGGGTTTTGCTACGCCAAGAGGTCACTGCCGATGTCTTGCCATCTGCTACCCTTTGCATTAACCTAGCCGAACAGACTTGGCGTGTCTTACAGTCGATTTCGATGTCGGGATGAAATTAAGCGGTTGATCTGATTTTCTCTCTCTCTCTCTCTCTCTCTCTCTCTCTCTCTCTCTCTCTCTCTCCCTTTCTTTGTGACTTAGATGAAAAGAATTTTTATTAATGAATAAGTTATTTGCGAATAAAAGTACGTTTAAATGCTTTTTCAAAACATTCCCAAAGAAAGTATCGTTTTGTCATAATCTCTCTCTGGGAGTTTATTCCGTCGTACTTTTTGTGTCTCCGCTATGTACGACGAAATGTTCTGATCTTTCCAGTTTGAAAAATTCACGCTTGCGGACGTCTCGTTGAATATCCGACACCAATATCCTTGCCAAGGGATTCGCACGCTTTACCGGCGGAAAAACGCCGATTAGTCGAGGAAGCGCGAAACGCTCCCCGGAAATGCTCATTCTACCGCGTTTCATGGCGTCGTCAAGTTTCCGACTCAAGCGCGTTTCAACGTCATTGGATGTGATACGAGGTCAGGAGATGAACTTTTTTTGCAGGTTTAATGATGACGTTGGATGACTCGTTTACTGTTACCTCGAAGCGCGCGTACACTTTCGGAAATTATGAAGATGTTGCAAATATCTCGAATGTCGCATTTGCCCCGCACGGTTGCGATCAACGCAAATTGTCGTACTTTCGTGGATTACGACGTTCAAGAGCTGTTTCATCAAGGAGAAATTTTCATAATGGGGAAGTTTGTGCTCATTTCGTGCCGAAACTGAGGGACACAAATGACGAGGAGGCAGAAACAGTCAGAGTTTCTTGGCCATTTCTTGACGGACCAATAATTTGTCTGTTATTCCGTTCAAGTTTGTAAGTTTTGACGGAGACTCGGGGATTACATGAAAAGCGAGACCGATTGCTCGCCATACGCAGACTGAAAAAGTTTCCTGCGGAACCGCAGGTCAAACTTTCTCATCGATGCGCGATTCAGCCGTAAAACATTTCGCGATTTCTCATTCATTCCCCGGCTGCTTACACAGGTAACTTCAAGTTTTCTTGTTATCTTTGCGTACAACATTCCCTACTCCTTTTATGTCAGAAATTTAGGCTTTACATGAACTCTTTACTTGAAAATTTCATCAAACTTGAAAAACTAATGGAACACATCTCGAGTAATAACACTTACACAGGTTATTGTTTTACGGCATATAAAAAGTTATTTAGTGCCGTTTTCTCCATGTTAAAACTGAACTTATTTCAGAATTAATTTTACTCTCGATCACACAAAGATCATAAATAATTTACAAACACCGGCCTATATAAGATTTGTGTCTCCAATAATCCTCTTTCTTTCAGATTTGTCGCCTGAATAATTTTCGTTATTGTATCAAATTCTTTTATCAATGTTATAAGCACTACGTTTTTATCTTGCTTCTATTATATTGCTCCTTTCTTCTCTTTCTCCTTCCGAGTATCAAAAAATTCTATTAAAATTTCTATTAAAACGTCAATACAAAATAATAAGAAAGAGATCACGAAAGATGAATGTTTGTTGCTATATTTACTCCTTTTAATCCTTCTATCGGATTATTTAATATTCGTTTATTGCACATATTACATGTGGCCGGCAGGAGAACTATGTGAAGACTTCTGGTAGAAATTCTGGAACTAATATAAAATTCTAAAATATAGGACATCTAGCTCCCCTATGCACCAAATATTTTAGTTCCAGATACAAAAATAGTAACTTTCAGTGCAGACTATTTAGCCTTGCTCATTACGACAGAAACGTATAAAGTGTCGTCGAGCGTGCAGATCGATCGGACGTGCTTTGCGATCGTCGCGAACGAGCGGACATGTATTCGCTGCGTGTGTTGCATCGCCAGGATTTCTTGACAGTTTTGAAACGCGACATGTCGATATCACAATATTGTCGGGCTTTTGAACTGGCAGCCAGACGTATCGGCGACGTAAATGGCGGAACGCGCGCGACGTTATATGTCCAATAAGAAACAACGGCCGCGAGACACGTTTCGGCATTCTGCGTATTTTTCAACGACCTTCGAGGTTGCTAACGTCGAAGACCGCGACGTCGTGCTGCGCCTACGTGCGACATCGGGTCGCGACGCCAGATTGTCGCATATCCGGCAGTTTCGAAATTTCGCCGACACGCAGATTCCAACCCCTAATAATATTTCGCCGCTAAAGTGTCTTCTCCTTGAAATAGGCGCGCGAGTAATGCGGACGTGTCAAAATGGACTTCGCCGTCGCTGTCGCCGTCGCTCTGTCACTGACGTTCTCTTCGGTTATATTTACAGAATTCCAAAGCGACGAGACTAATGCGTCGTCCGGTAAGAACGACTTATTTCAAATCGGCTCGAACATTCTCCCCACGCGCACCGACTGTTTTAATGTTGCGCAGTGTACGATTTTAAGATATACCTGCTGCCAGTATTCTAAGTGATGTTCTAAATTTAAATTTCTAAATTTCTAAATTTAAATTTCTATTTTAATTAAAATAAACTGATTATCCAGTAAACAGATGCAAGATTTGGCTAGGTTTTGCTTAGATTTGCTGACGCATCGGCACCGCCCACGTAATCTTAGAATATCTCTTCGTGACCACGTATAAGTAACGCGCGTTTAATGGCTTTGCCACGCGTCCAACAGAAGATTAGTCGTGATTCTTCGTGGTGTGCTTCGAGTCTTCAGGTTGTTCCCTTAATTTGATCGCTCGCGCAGGATAAAGTTTCACCTGCGGCGTGGGGTCGTCGGTCGATGAGGACGAGCAGGTGGGCGAGCAAGCGCGAGGCTTCGCCACGAGAATTCGTCGAGAACCGTTTAATTACAGGCAAATCCCGCGCTCCATCGACTGGCTCGTTCAAGCGTGCAAACGACCGATATTCTTCGTCGACCGAAATCCGTAAACCGGATTTCGGGGGATTTGCGAGTTCCCGCGAGTCTCCCCCTTCGAAAAATGTTGACCCCTCAAGTGATATGGCCGGGAAAGTTTTGTGGTATGATATTAAATTTCTCTTGATTTACTTAAACTATTGTACCTTCTTTCAATTCATAGCAAATAAAAATTGGTACACGGAAAAAAAGGTTTGGTTGAATGGAACTTATTCATATCTCATATTGAGATCTCATATTGAGATATGAATAAGTCTGGTTGAAGTCAGCTTAGGTTTCTGCTTAACCTGAACAATTGCAAGTTCTAGTTAAACAGAAATCTTATTAACTTGAACAGAATTCTGTGGTAGTTTCAATCGTAAATTCTGTGTATTTTACCAGATATTTGATTAATCCAACCAAATGTTTTTTGTGTATATTCTTGAAAATTATATGTAATCTATTTTTCAAAGTTCTTCAAAGAAAATGAAGAGAAAAGAAATCTAGAAATGCTTATTAAAAAAGGAAAAAAAACTTGCATTGGGGAAATCGCGCAGTCATTTTAAATGACTACTGAAAAGAATATTGTGTTGTCGAAACGAAAACTTGGTACACACCGGGATAAAATTTGACTAAAATGGGGCCAATCAAATGTCCGGTAATTGCAACAAAAAATTGCCTCTTGTGCGTATTGTTTTTTTATTAATACATTCTATTTGACACAAGTGAAAAACGTGGTAATGCAGACCAAATCGTATGCACCGAATATTTTAGTTCCAAATACAAAAGTAATTTTTTTAATGTGATTAAATAGAGTCTTGAAACGCATCGAAATATCGTTGATCGATCGAGTATCGCCGTTCGCGTTTCGCCACGGTAATATTATTATTATTATCACCTCCTCGCTATTCGGAAGCGCAAGAGGGAGAAATGCGGATTCTCGGCGAAATTCGTCGGTTATTATAATTAATCTGGCATGCGGCGGCTCATGTACGTGCAGCAACTCCGCGGCCGCGAAACAGTTACTCTCCGTCTCACCACGACCGCGTGCTATTTGATTCGGGCAAACACGGCATGTTGGGCGTGCGCGTTGCGTAAATATTTCTCATTTTTGCCGGTATTTGCTTTCTTGCCGGCTGGGTTCCGCTATTTGTGGGCTGATAGTTGCGAGAGCGCGTGCAGTTAACACGGGAATACGCGATTTTCCGTCGTGACGGTTTCTTCGAGTCCGAGAAAAAGGGATATTGTACGCATTCCCTCCGTATACATAACAATCATGGGAGAAATTAACGAATTTCCTTGAAACGAATCTGGAGAAGAGCCGGCGAGCACAGCGCGCGCGTGTGTCTTACAGCGCCTCTTGGTGCTGTTAAGCTAATCTTTGAGCCATACATTTTATTTCTCGGTGAAGCCTCTTCAAATTTGGCATATGAAAGATTCCGGAGTCGCTGATTACGAATTTGAGAACGGAAAATTAAAATTCGAAATTATATGTCTGATATGGCAACCATAAGTGTTCCAAATTAGCAATCTCACTTTCAATATTATCTACAAGTACCCACGACATATCCTCAATATGAAAAAAAAAATATTTTCGTTTTTTGCAAGAAATTTGCAGCAAACGTGTCATCAATGTTATAACAGTTTATTGTAAATAATAAGTATAACAGAAAACGTTAAAGAAAAATATGATAAATGCCTGTGTTTACCGATGAGTTAGTTAAAATCACTAAAAATGAAGACAAACTAAGTTAGAACGCAAGCGCCTCACTACGACTCAAAGGGTTAATCCGCCTAACACCGCAGCATGCAACGTACGAGGGCGGAACATCTGAGAGCATCGGGAATGATGGGGCCCTAGCCGAAAGGTCGGAGCAATTAGTCCTGCTTGACACCGCGATAATTTATGAAACTTGCGGAATAATTAAAGTCGTTACGCAATGTTTGCGGGCTTGCAATTTCGGCGAAGCCTTCCGTGGCGGGTTCGGGGTTGCGAAGGGGGCTTCGAACTACAATGGCTGCAGGCGGGTGGGTGGGATACGTCGTACGCGTCCCGGAAGCGCTCATTACGATGTAAACTGTGCAGACCCTCGCGCGTTCCCGGTTGCTGTCTAATTATTAGGCGCGACGTCGCTGGCTCGAAAGAATAATCCTCCGCAATTAACCCAATTAGCGTTCGTTCGGCCGTTTAGTCGGGCGCCCCTATTTAAAAGTCCGATAGGGCTTTCCCACG